TTACTTTTTCTGGTGGGGGCTGGGAAGGAACCCGGAGCCCTATGCTTGTCAGGCAAGCTCTACCCTTAGCTACACCCGGCCCCTCGAAATGTCCACTTCCGAGCAGTAGCTGTGGGTCAAAACTGCAGACTGCTGCTGCCCCTTGATGGCAAAGCAGGACGGAAAGGGTCTCTCCAAGGCAGCGGGGCCTGGGCGCAGGAGATCCTGCGGTTTTCAGCCAGAGGGCACTGGGCAGTGGGGCACGGACTGGACAACTGGCCACTCTTTTTCTCATAGGAAGTGGCCAGAGACCCACTCTTTGTTTGGCCGAAGACTTCTGTTAAGAGCTGGAGAGGGCCCTGGCTCTGGAGAGTTCCAGCTGGCCCTGGCTATCAGCAAGAGCTGGAGAGGCAATTACAGATGACTGGAGGCCAAATGAAGTTTTCAGTTCACAGCTCCTGGCTTTTCCGCTACGGGAGGAGAGACAGAATCAATGCGAAGGCGACGACACATTGATTTCTGCGACCTGCCTGGTTCTGATGGTACACGGGTGTGACAACGATCAGAAATACAGGAGGGGGAAGGGAGGGAGAAACGCTCGGCTCCTGGCCTCCGGGAACAAAGGGAAATGTCCAAGGAACACCTTGCAGTTTAGGCAGTAAGTCTGAGTCAGGAAAAGTTAAGTCCCCTCGAACCTGGTACACGTGGCCCGAGGCATTCATGGGTTTAGCGTCAGTAAACTCAATCAGATCTGGAAGAAAAAGCACTGGAATCGTGTCTGCACCGAACATGCACAAACTGTGTTCCTCGGCCTTGTTCCTTACATGATACAGGACAGCAACAATCTCTACCATACATGCATTATACCAGGGATGGTGAGGAGGGTGCCTGTAGGTTCTGTACAAATGCTACACATAGGCTGGGTGTGGTGGAGCCCACCTGTAATCCCAGTACTTGGGAGGCTGAGGCTGAAGGATCTCTGAGGGTTCAAGGCCAGTCTGAACTACTAGCAAGATCTTGTCTCAAGAAACAAAACAAAAGGGCTGGGGGTTTAGCCCAGTGGTTTCACTGCCTGCCTCAAAAGCGCAAGGTCCTGAGTTCAATCCCTGGTACCAGGGGGGAAACAAAAATCTATAACCCTACCCTATGAGTTTACTGCTTAGTTCACTTTGTTTAATTAATTTTTTTTCCCCTGAGATGGGATGTCCTTCTGTTGCCAAGACTGGTCTCTACTTCCTGGACTTAAGCACGCCTGCCTCAGCCTCCCAGATAGCTGGGCCTATAGGCGAGTCACCACATCCAGCTGAGAAATACTGTTTATTAATAAGTGAATCTGAGGTTTCTCGAAGCAAAAAAATAATATTAACAGCAAAACATACACTTGTGTATAACAGCACAGCAATGCGGGTTGTGCTACTGCAGAATGCACTTGTAGATCGTCACTACAAAATCGTATTTTGTGTCACTCCATGGACTAAGTTAAAATGAAGGGACAATTAATTCTCAAGTCCACGGCGGGGTGGAGGTGGTGGAGGTGGTGGAGGTGGAAATGAACCTCAACCTGAACATCACACTTCTCACCAAAGGGAACTCAGAATGGACTGGAAATTGAGAGAGAAAAATGCAAAACCATAAAATCTTCCACCGGCAACAAGGCCAGAAACTAAGGCTTGGTGAAGCACTCTGATATAACAAAAGCATGATCCACACGAAAAAAACACCGGGTGAACCTATGGCACGCGTGCCGCAGAGGGCTGTGTGCCTCTGAGAGCTCTGAGAGGTTCGCCGTCACCGGTAGGCAGACTCGCGGGCCGCTGGCTGTCAGGTCCTAGCACGCATCCCGTGGTCTGCATCCGGCCCCTGGTGGGGTGTCCTCCCCCTGCCGGGGCCCTGGGTCTCCGAAGCACTCCCTGGGGCCTTCTCCCCTCCCTCCAGGCCGGAGGTGTGAGACTTAGCTTGGGGTCCCCCTGGGGGATACTATCTTTGCCTGCACCCCAAGTCCAGGCCGCCACAGGTCCTGCTTCTGCCTTCTTCATGGGGCCTGGGGCTGGCCTGTCACTCACCCAGGCTCCGGCGTCCTCGGAGTGCTCGGCCACTCCCAGGTCCCCCCATGTGGCGGCCTGGAACCCTCACCTCATCTGTCGCCACCATTTCACGCTGCACCCCAACTACACGGATGTGTGGCCCTCGGGGTCTTCAGGGCCTCTATTTATGGATCCTGCGCCCAGCAGCCCACAGGCCAGCGCCACAGTACACCCCGACCTCCCCGAGGACAAAGATCAGACACCTCTGGCCCCTGCACGCCGGCCATGCCAGTGGGGCCCTTGCCACGAAGGGTGTAGGTCGGGGTGACAGTGGGCCGGCAAAGGACAGGACGGGGGCACCCAAAGGCAAGGCCTGCAGGCCCAGTGTACCCCAGGCTCCACAGAGATGAATGAATGCATAGATAAACAGGGTGTTTAAGGTCAAGTGTCACCAAGGGCTGTATCTTAGGGAGGCCTGAGCTCCACTTTACTCATAAAATCTCCACGCTGCAGGCTGTGCGGCCACTGAGACCTTTAGCCAGGAAGCGAATGGCACCCAACAGGACGGCGGGGGACCCAGGACAGTTGCACACCAAGTGGGAAACTGCTTGCAGGAGTACACCGGAGCCCTGCTATTCCTGAAGAGGAACTGCGTTCAGAGCCACAGCGTAGATGCTGTTCAGCCCTGACCAGTTTCATCCACACTCAAAAATGCCAGCAGACGGGACGTCACCTTAACACACCCTAAGAACTATTCTTTGGTTTGTCATCTCTTAGCCCTGTTGATTAACTTCTTGGCTTTCTTTTACCTATTGTTATGGCCTGGATCCCAAATGTCCCTAAAGGTCTCGAGTGTTCAGGGGCAGGGAGGGGCTCAGGAGGTGATTTGGGGGTGCTGTGCTCATCTACCCTGAGCTCACCGCAGAATGAGGTGTGTGGGGGGGTCAGGTCACAGGGGCGTGACCTGGGCAGGTGCATTTCTGTCCCTTTTCCTCCTCCACCAGGCCCTCCCACCTTGGGCCAACCAACCATGGACTGAGTTCTCTGAAACCATAAGTCAAAACAAAACCTCTCCTCCTTTAAGTTGTGGGTGTTTGTGTATTTCGTCTTGGTGGTGGGAAACTGACCAAGACACCTCTATATCCTTCTGTGTTATTTGTTTACCTTACTTCTCTTTCTTTTGTAGTATTTTTCTTTCTTTCTTTCTTTCTTTTTTAGGTTCCAGGGATCGAACTCAGGTCCTTGCCCTTGTGAGGCAGGCAGAGGAACCACTGAGTTAAATCCCCGGTGCTTCTGTAGTACGTTTTTCTGCTTAAGGGTGGACTTGGGGGTGATGGTGGAGGTGAAGCTCCTTAGGGCACAGGCCCCACCACTCCTCTCACTAATCTGTGATGATCTCCCATTCCTCCTTCTCTCTTCTCTTCTGCCAGACAGGTGGGATATTGCAGAGCTTTTCTGGGTTTTTTTGGACCAGGGTCTTGCTATGCAGCCCAGGCTGGACTCGAACTTGTGGTGATCCTCCTGCCTCAGCCTCCCAAGTGCTAGGATTACAGGTGTGCGTCACCACGCGGGCCCAGCCCCGGAGCTTTTCTATGGCATGATCCCTGGATCGACAGCAGGACAGATGCTGGGCCAAGGGGCCTGCGGAGGCTGTGCTAATGACAAATGAGTGCTCACTGACTCTCGCACCCCAAGAATCTTCACCCGTCACCCACTGCCACAAGGAGATGCACCTCCTCACCACAGGGAGGGCCTGGGGCTCAGCACCTCCTTACATTCCTCCCTTCCTCCTTCTTGCTTCCTGTTTCTTTTTGTGCTGGGAGTAGAACCCAGGGCCTCAGGTGGGCTAGGCAAGCACTGTACCACAGAGCTGTACCCAGTCTTCCTTTGTTTGTAATAACCCTAACTTCAAGGTTTTTCAAAGCGGGGGAATATACCTAGCTGAATTATTCCATTACTAAATAACATAGGCACAGTGGTGCACGCCTGTCATCCCAGCACTCGGGAGGCTGAGGCAGGAGGATTACTTGGAGTCTGAGGTCAGCCTGGGCTACATAGCGAGCTCAGGGCCCGTCTGAACTACAGAACACAACACTACATTTTCCTCAGTTAATGTCTAAGGCCACTTTCCATTACTGTGATGAAATGCCTAAGGACAACCCACTGAGACGGGAAAGTTTGTTCTGAGTATGGGGAGGCAGGGTCCTTCAAGGACATGCCCTCCCCAGTAACTGCTGAGGCCCGCAGGCTGGGGGCCTCACTGGGGCATCTCTACCGGGAATGTCGAAGCCCCAGATCGCCATGCTTGTTTACCAAAGATAGGAAGTAACCAAGGCAGACTGCGGGCGGGGAGTCATGTCAGAAACACAACCCAGAACACAGCAGCTGATTCTTGGGGCTCGAACCTGCTTGCTGGTTGCCTCCCGCCCAGCAGCAGGAATGTGGCACAGACTTTTCACAGGCAAAGATTCCTGGCTGATAGAGAACACGATATGGGCCCTTGAAAAAAAGTCACCTCTGCTACTCGTTGGATTTCCCCCACCTTAAGATGGCTCTAACTAGTGATGACACAGCCCCGCCAATCCCAGGCCACTACATCAGCCAATCCTACCCCAGTCCTCTAAGAAGCTCGGTCTCAGCCCTACTGCCCTCTCTCCTTTGTTCGGAGACAGCCCAGCAGACCCTCCCCGTAATAAAGGCTTGTTATGCTTGCAGTCTGGTCCTGGTTTCTGGCTCTTTTTATCTAACACTGCTGTTACCTGAATCGGATCCTTCTCTGCTAATAACACAAGATGCATTTAAAATTCGCGAGAAGAAAAATTAAGTTAAAAAATCGGAGCCGGGCATGGCAGCGCACGCCTGTAACCCCACCACGTAAGAGGTTGAGGCAGGAGGATCGCCAGGAGTTGGAAGTCAGCCTGGGCTACACGGCAAGACCGTGTCTCAAACAAGCAAACACACAAAACAACTCAAAAGCAGTAGTCTTTTACTGGGGGCGGGGGTACAAGGCAGAGGTGAGGATGGAAGCCACACTAGGCAAGTACTCTACCACTGAGCCACAGCCCAGGCTCACAACCAGCACCCTGACATCCCTGACAAGCGTTTGTTCGCGGTGCGTACTGTCTCTCAGAATCACAGCCTGGCCAGATGTTTCCAGTGTTTTCATGTTGCTGTGGGCCCGGCATCGCTGTAAACATTTCCCTGTGCTCAGGTGGTTAGCGCATTCCACGTGCAGACACCAGTCTCCAAGAGAGGAGAAGGAGGCAAAGGTCCCTATTTTGCCGCAGGATTTTAGATACGGATCGCCTAATTGCTTTTCCAAAGGGCTTTGCTGGTGAGTACAAGCGGTGCGGCATAGCCCTGCTGAACGCGGGGAACCCTGCAAGGTGATACACGGGACAATTAGCAACTAACTGAAATTTAATGGGATTCTGACTGTGTCCCGCCCTCATTTCTGCACTGTTTTCCAGTTCTTAAAACAGCTCTGCAACCTTTACAATTTGTGTGTGTCAGTGGGGAGGGGATTGGGAACAAAACCTGGGCCTTTTCCCTGGGCTACATTCCCGGCTCTTTTTAAATTGTACTCTTTTTTTTGGAGACAGGGTCTCCACCAGGCTGGCCTTAAACGTTTGATCTTCCTGCCTCAGCCTCCCCGGAGGCCGGGATTACAGGTGTGTGCCACCCAGCCCGGTGAAATCTAAAATTCTTTCAAAATTAAAGTTAAAAATAAAGCTCAAAGTAAGTGGCTACAGGGTTTTGATGCCACACAACAAACAGAATGTTGGTTTTCAAAAGGCCTGTTTCTGAGTCACACTGGCTGAGCAGCCCTAGTCCCCAAATGTGAAATCCCAAATACTGCAAAATCCAAAGGTTTTTTTTGTTTTGTTTTGTTTTGTTTTTTGATACTGGGGATTGACCCAGGGCCTTTGCACGGAGCTACATCCCAGCCCTTCCTCAAGTGGAAACCCCGCCCCCCTTCTTTCCGGATGTGAGGGCCTCCCGCCCTGCCTGGAAGGTGCTGGGAAAGCGAGCACGAGTTTTGGGTTGAGATGAAGGGTTCCATCTGCGAGACACGCTTCATGTGTGCAGTTATTCCACACTCCGAAAACCCTCAGAAATCGGGAACCCTTCTGGTCCCGACCGCCCTGGCCACGGAACCCAGACCTGAAACACCTCTTCCGCCTGGCTGCTTTCCCGTGCGCGGCTGCAGATCGGGCCCGGTGCTCCCAGCCCTCCCCACACAGGCGTGGGAGCCGGGGGACAGAGCCGGAGGTCGCCCCTGACCGCGCTCTTCCTGACAGAGGCCCCGCCTGCACCCCTGCATCCACATCTGCAGGCTCAAGGACAGAATCACACGTCCCCAGGGTGATCCCAGTGCTGTCCCCGCAATCACTGCCTCTTTACAGCCTGTGTTGAAAGCACCGCAGCACCAAACGCAAACACCCAGCAAGCACTTGCAAACCCTTCTGGGGGGTGGGGAGGGGCCGGAGGTGGTGTTAACACACACTGTGGGGATGACGTTGATAGGCTCCCCAGCCTGGAGAAGCCCGGGTGAGCAAGGAGCGGGTTGTGGGTTAAGGAGTCTGAGGGCTTCTGGAATGGGAGCTGAGTGTCTCAGGCCTGTCCAGGGAGGGGCTCCTGGGTCATGCACACTGGGTTCTGAAGGATGAGTAGGAGGTTGTCAGGAGAAAAGAAGGAAGCAGGAAGCCCATTCCAGAAAGGGGAGTGAGCAAGGTAGAGGTGACAAAGGGCAGGAAGAAGACGGTTAAAGCGCAGACGTTGTGTGGGGGGGATGCGGGTGGGGGCAAGGTAAACAGGCTGCACAGGCCAGACCTGAGGGTCGGAAGGCAGGTAGGGCCGGGCGTGTGGTGATGCGTGTGCCACCTGACTGTGCTTTGCTTCCTGACAGGGAGCCCTGGGGGCCGAGGTGGGGTGGGGTAACCCGGCAGCAGAGGCAGGGCTGTTAGCACCGGGAGGACAAGGGATGGAGACCACGGTGACAAGGTGGGTCCGTGGATCCCAAACCACAACTCCAGGAGGGAGAGTGGGCACGGGGGGGACCTCGAGGCACAGGGTGCAGTAAAAGTAAGGTTGCTTTGGTTTGCACTCTTTCCTGAGTGTCTTTTTTTGGGGGGGTACCAGGGATCAAACTTGGGTCCTTGTGCTTGCAAGACAGGCGGTCCTGAGTGTCTTTTGGAGGTGTGATAAAAATACACTGAATGCTGCTCCTGGGCACCACCCAAGGGAAAGGCAGGCTCGAAAACCATGAACACGGTGTCCTTCTCTGCTGTACTCACTGGTTCTGGCACTGTGTGACTTCCAGCTCCTCTCCAAGATCAAAATGACCATAAAAGATAAAATGTTGTGAATCAATTCAGGACACAGAGACAGCACAACTAAGGACACTCATAAAAGAAGACTTGCAGAAATGCTGAGGAAAGCAGCGAGAATAACAGGACAAGTGTGTTCAAACTGAGAGGAAGGATTTTGACGGGGACAAATGGCTATGCATCGTTAATAAATTTTGTTTTTGTGACAGAGTGTCACCATGTAGCCCAGGTTGGCCTTGAACTCATGGGGATCCTCCTGCCTCAGCCTCCCAAGTCCTGGGATTACAGGCATGCTCCATAGCTGGCTTGTAATAAATCTTAAAAATTTAAACATGTACTGTATTTTTCAATCCCTTTATGTTTTATTTTGAGACAGGATCTTGCTAAGTTGCCAGATTCTTTTTTGTTTTGTTGTTTTTTGAGACAGGGTCTCACTATGTTGTTGAGACTGACCTGGAACTCACTATGTAGCCCAGGCTGGTCTTGAACTCACAGCGATCCTCCTGCCTCAGCCTCCCGAGTGCTGGGATTACAGGTGTGCGCCACCATGCCCGGCTAGTTGCCAGATTCTTAAAGAGGCCTATTCAAGCTGGCTTCAAACTTGCAATTCTCCTGCCTCAGCCTCCTGAATAGCTGTGTGTCACCATGTCCAACTAAAAGCACAGCTGTAACACAAGCTGCCTGCCATTCATCCGGGGAATTCCTGAGGGACCCCACTGAAGGGGTCCAGCCCACAACTGAAGTCCCCAAGGACAGGTGGGCCAAGTGTCCTCCACAGCCACCTGCCAGCAGCTTTTCTCAATGAGGGCCACGCTCTCGGTCACCTATTTCCAGGACAAAATGCTACCTAAAGTCTGGATCTACAGGTGCAAAAGAGCTGGGTCTCCATGAAGCGGAGTCCAACACGCTGGAAAAACTTAACACTGACTTGCTTAAACAGAAGCCAGGGAGGGCACCCCAGTACGGAGCCGGCTCGCCCCGGTGGCAGGGGCAGCGGGACAAATGAGCTGGGCAGGGGACACGGGTGCGCGGGAACGCCAGGGAGCCCCTTCCCCCACTGTTCCGGGCTCATCCGGGCGGGAGAGACCCTTCTGAAAACAAGCTGCTCCCGCAGTTAATGGGGACTCAAGTGCGCCAGCAGCGCCTTTCAGCCCCCACTCCGCTCCCCTCTCCCCGCCGTCCTGGAACCACTCGAGGGACTCTTCCCAGAACAGGAGTCCGGCAGCAGGAGCACCCGGGGCGTCAGAAGTGGCCCCAAGGCACCTCTGGGATCCAGGGGGAGGGACCTCATGGCTCCCTGCCTTGCCCCCGTGGACCGGGAGGGGGGATAACAGAAGCGCCCTCTTTGCCGTGATGGAGAATGTCCTAGAACAGTGCCTGGCATGCAGCAAACTCTAGTGCTGGCCACAGGTAGGGCAGCGCACGCGCCCAGCACCCCCCGAGTGGGCCCCGTCCCCCTCCACTCAGAGCCGGCCACGCCGCAGCGCTCAGCTGAGAAGCCTCGCCCGGTGACGTCGCCTTGCGGGGGCCGCTGCCGAACACCCAGTGTGTGGCTGTGACCTCCAGCCTGTCTTCCAGGGACTCTGCTGACCTCTACCTAGGGGGCCCCAGGCCGCCTCAAACTGTCCTGCAGGGCAGCCCTCCTGGGTGCCCCAACTCCAGGTGTTTGGCGCCCTCGCCCCCCTCCATGCGCGTGCACACACACACACACACACACACACACACACACACACGGCTCCCGGACTGGTCTGGCGGTCCCTCCTCGCTCATTATTCCTGGTGGTTTTGTCCGGGAAGCCCCTGAGAATGCCGATGCAGGGAATACCGAACCTGCACTCCTGTGGGGAGGGGAAGACGGGGGCAGGATCTGGGCTGCGGCCGGTTATCGCGGTCCGGTCCATGGATCCGTGGGTGGCCTCACTGATTGCTGGATATGTACCTGTTGCTGCTGAAAGACACCTTGTTTCACAGACAGTGTTGGTTCATCCAAACGGAATCCCCAGCCAACAGAACCACCCTCACTTAGGACGGACTGCAGATCTTGAGCCCTGGCATTTCCTCCACGAAGCAAGCGCCCTGTCGCACGGGGACACTAGACGGTGCCGTGCTTGGGAGCTACGTCTGTACGTTTATATCCAGAGGCCCCCAGAGCCTCCCGTGCTCACAGCTGGGGCTCTGGGAGGTGACTGGGTCATGGGGCTGACATACTTAGGAGTGAACTAGTCCACCGATGGATGCCTGATGGCTAGGGCGCCCGTTCCCTGTGGTCTCCAGCTCTGATAAGGAGCCATTTATATCTTTAGCTACATCTGACGAGTTAAGCAAGCGAGCCACACAGCAAAAGGACAGGACCTCCAGCAGCCTCCTGCTCAATGGACCCCAGAAAACCACACAGCAGCTCCGGGAACTCTCACCCACCTAGCTGTGGGCCTGGCTAGAGGGTGGTGAGCTCCGGACAAACACAGCACCTCTGGGGCTTCTGCTCTTAAGGACCAGACAAGGAGCCCTGCATTTTCATGCCTTCAGCAGTTTCCCTGGTAGACTCGATGTCCGCCAGAGAGAAGAGGAAGCTGAGGCGGCACCACCTCTCCAGAGGAGTCATGAGGGCTTCTAAGGCTCACGACTGCAGCCCGCTCGGAAACCCCACGCTGGGGCTGGAGGTGCAGCTCAGGGTTCAGCGCTTACCTAGCAGGCGCAATGTCTGGGTTTCACCCACAGCATCACAGAAAGCCACAATCAAAACCCAAGACAAAGAAGTAAAAGCAGCAGATAAACATATGAAAAAATGTTCAACGTCACTCACTGGTCATTGAAGAGAAGCAGATGAAAACAACACTGAGATTCCACCGCACCCCACAAAGAATGGCTGCTATCAAGAAATCAACCAATAACAAATGCTGGTGGGGCTGTGGGCAGAAAGAAACTCTTCTCCGTTGTTGGCTGGAGTGCAGACAGGGGCAACCACTGTGGAAATCAGTATGGAGATACCTCAAAGAGCTGGGGCTAGAGGTTGCATTTGACCCAGCCATCCCTCTGCTGGGTATCTTTCC